AAAATAATGAATAAATAATTATGTCCCTTTAAAAGGGACATAATTAATCTGCAAAATTTTATATGATAAATAGTTTAGGGACCTATCCTTAATTCTGGTAAAAAGAAGTGAATAGCTTGAGTTAATATTAGCAATATATTAATAGACTATTTACATGTAGACAATTGTAATCTTAAATGATCTCATAATAAAGTACATGCGTGTATTACAACTTGGCTCCTTAAAAAAAGAAATAATAATAAAAACAAATTATCTATTTTATTGTTGAAATATTAACTTCTTTAAAATGAGATTTAAAAAATATATATTATTTATGTGCCAAATAAATTATATGCCACTTTATTGTTAAAGATAAAAATTATATAAATTTGATTAGCCAAATTATATACTTTTTTGACAAATAATTGATGAGTAGCATTATATCGAATAAATCAATTTTGACTAGTGATAACTTTTATACTACTATTATATTATTATATTGCTATAGAATTATTATTGCAATTGTAACTGTTTTGTTTTTATATTGTTACTATTATATTATAGTATAATAACAGAATTATATTTAAATTGTTACTGCTACACTACCATTTTTTTAAAAAAATTATATTATTACTATATTGCTATTATATTGCTACTACATTATTAAAAAAAATTATTTTTAGTAAAGTTAAATAATCTAGTAAGATAATATGTGGTGATTAGGAATTCTAGTTACTTTTGCAAATAGAACTAATAATAATAATACAAGTTTCTTATTTACTTTTTGATAATAGATTCATTGTACAAAGTTAAATAACAACATCTATAAGAAACTCCAACTTTATTATATTTAACAACTTTTTTTAACAATTATTACTATATGTTCAAATATTTCTCTTTTATCTTCTCTTGTCTTATACTTAAGAATCCTAATGATTCTCTTCAATTTTGTATTTAATTCTTAAGTTTATATTATATTTAATAGGTGGGATATACTTTACTATCATTTTTAATAGTATTCCAAATCTCATACAATTTTCTGTGATTCTGTTTGATTCTAATTTTCAGAACCATACTTATACTTGTATTAGATCTTATTTAAATACTTAAATAGTATGATTATATATATATAACTTTCTATAAAAAGCAGCTGTCCTCTTCTCTACTTGCTGCAAATATAGGTAACTGTCATAAGCTTGAATAATCTGTAATCTGCTATAATTTTAGAAGGGTAGAGAAGATCAAATACTAGATGATCAAATGAAAGATTAATCTTTACTAGTAAAATTCTAGCCAAAGTAATAACTATTTAACTATTTGAACAAGTTATTTAAGTAAAGCTTAAAGTAAAACAAATTTTACTTACTGTACATCAAGTCATATTTAAAAAGCAAACATGTCAATCTTAGTTATAACTTGGAGGCCAACCTATATATGGTGGCTACAGCACTTTCATATAATTAAGTAATCAAAATTTTCTAAATAGTTAGATGCCATTCAAAATATAATATAGATTTTGAACTTCTTTTTTTTATATTCTTGAATGGTGCTAAGAAGCTTAAATGAAAGAATTATTGCCTGGCATTAAATTAAACTCTTCTTAACAAAAAAAGATGTATATTGCACTATTGAGTTATAAATTTTGTATTTTGCAAATCTAAAAGTATAAATAAAAAATAATATGTAAGAACCACCTGTTCCTTCAAAAAATAAAAATAAAAATAATAAACATAAAAGAATATTAGATAAAATTATTTTATAATTATTTTAAGAATATGTCTAAAATTTTTATTTAATTTTAATTATTGGTTTTAAAATCATAAATAATTTTTGAAATTTAAATTTTTGAACTTTTCATATATTTATCAAAATATAGACAATCGGTAATAAATTTTAATAACACTTTAGGTTTGTGATTAGATTTGCAATTAATTGTTTTAATTGTTTTAAGAAAAAAAATACATAATTTGATGATAAATGACATGTTGATTTAAATATTCTTGTTATTGATGTCTTTGACATATTATGGTTTCGTTCTGATCATGAACGTCAAAAGTCTATCATTGCTAAGGTCGCAAAAAACCACAACCTAAAAGTTGCGTAAAGGAAAATCCTATTGGTGTTGGAAAATTGATACAATGTCTGTACCTGACCCAGAAGAAACATGTCTTATTAAATTAATAAGACACTGATGACATGAAAAAAATGCATTAAAAATCAATTCGATACTAAATTCAGACCCATTTTTGTTCTTCTCTATTTACAGCTCTACCAATTACAATTGTTGATGGTGCAACCACATGTTCTCTCTCAACTACTTCACCTAGTGTCGAGACCGTTGCTTTGATAATTCGTTGGTTAGGACAATTGCTATTTTCTACGAATACCGCAGGTAAATCTGGGGGATATCCTTTTTCCAGTAGTTCCTTGGATAAATCATTTGCCTTGCCGACTGCCATGAGTACGACCGTCGTACGCATAGCATTATATGGGGGCAAATCAGGTAACCGGCCATTAGTGCCTTGGCCAGTGGTAACGAGAACCTGATCTGATAAACCCCTGTGAGTAACGGGAACATCCGCCACCATCGGGGCAGACAGGATACAGCTAATACCTGGAATCACTTCAACATCCCAACCCTTTTCTCTGAAGAATGTTACCTCCTCTCCACCACGTCCAAACAAGAACGGATCACCTATTTTTAGCCGAACCACGGTTTTCCCTTCATTCAATGCTTCGAGACACCAATTCTGAAGTAACTCCTGGGAATTCAGAGATTTTATTGCCCCTGATTTAGCTGGAGCAAAACGAATTTCACAGGTTATATTTTCAAATACAGCCTGAGGAATAAGTCTATCAGACACAATTATATCTGCACTGCTAATAGCCTTGGTAGCCTTGTGAGTTAGTAATTCAGGATCACCAGGCCCTGCTCCAACCAAAATAATACGAGCTTTTTTTTTATTATTTGTCGTCAAAATTTCGGTCGGTAATTGTTCTTTGGCATTCTTTATTTGTAGATCGTCATTCTTACATGATTCAGAATCTGTATTATTATTTTCGGCATGATTCTTTCCTAGAGAAATCTCAGACAAGACCTTCGAAAGTTGAGGAACTTCATTATTCACATAATGCGACATCAAATTTTCAATCTTTTCATCATCTAATTGTTGCAATTCTTCCAGAGACCATTCTTCACAAATTCTCGACATCCAATTCATCCTCTTCGCCGAAGAAGTGTGATCAGGATCGGCATGTTTTACTTTTTGTCTCAGTGATCCAACGGCTTTAATCGCATCACCGATTCCATGAGGCAAATTATCTGCGATATGACGACGGATAATGTTTGCAAGTTTCGGACCCTGTCCGTTGGTTGATACGGCTATTTGAAGAGGACCTTCACGATGTTCCGACATGAAATAGAAATCGCATAACGGTGGAACATCCGCTACGTTCACGGGAATCCTTCTTTCTCTACATAACTGAAAAATTTCACGTGATCTTTCCGGATCATCGATTGCACTGAGGACCATGTCCACTCCATTGAGATCAGAAGCTTCAAATCCTCGATTGATCCATTTATGAATTTGCCCTTGTTGGATACGGTATTTCAATTCGTCTTTAAGTTCATGCTCGGGGCATACCAGAATTACCAAGGAGTCAGCTTCTAACGCCTTTATGACCCTACTTGCAGCTACTTCACCACCACCGACAATAAGAACCTTTCTGTCTTTCAAACGCCAGGCAAGAAGAAGCGAACCACCTTTTCTAATTAAAGGATAGTTCTCTGAGGTCATTTTCAGTTTGAGCTTAGTAAATGTTTCTATTTATATAAAAAAATTGATAACTGATAACCGTGATCATTTACCTATTATAGAGGTTGATTTTTTTTTAAGTTTGTTCTTTATTATGTGTATATATTAAAATATATCTGTGAAAAAAAACCTACATCTCTTACAATTTTTTTTTAAAAAATTAAAAATTATGTTATTATTTAATAAACACTAATCTAAAAAAGATATAAAAATTAAATATAAATCTTTTAATATTAATTAATAATCTCAATTAAAATATTTTTATATTAATTAATAATATTATTTAAACATTTTTTTTTTTTAATGTTATATTTCAAAAATACATTATTATTTTTTTTATTAATGTTAAGGTGAGACTTGTCTCATTATCTTTATTAATGCATAATTATTATTATTACATAATTAATTTTAAGATATGAGATATATAAACAAAATTGTACATATTAGTTTACCACCTATTGTAGTAGATATATTTCTAATAAAAAAATCCTTGAGCAAGGAAAAAGTTAAGAAAGAAACTATCTACATATGAAGATAGAATAAATTATATATAAAAAATTTAAGGGGCAAGATTGCCATAATGTAAGTAAAAGAATATGAGGATATTAGAAGTTATAGGTTGAAAGTTTTTGACGTGAAGTTGCTATATACATTAAGTTTGAAGTTAGGGTTAATCACTTCCCGAAAACCGCATATAGTTAAAAAATTAGAAATGAAAATTGTTAGAATGGTAATGGTAAGTATTGGATTGTGAATGCAATTATCTTTTGTGTTAACAATCCCTCCTGCAAGGCACAAACCAAATGTGTCTATCTAGGTCAAAGCTTCCTTTTCGATAGCTGGGTATAACTTCAGCAGCAGTAGAAGAGTATTGGCTTAAGCTGCCAAATTATGGGATGCAACTCCCTGGTATTTCACTTCTACTTGCAATAAAAGTATTTCACTCTCATTTACATTAGTTAGGCTTAGGCTGCCTTTTTTCTTTAATGATAGCATTGCTGCTCGTGAGTTACAACTCCATTGTTAATGATAATTGTGGAAAGTTAAAATATTTATAAATAAGTAGTATGGTTGAGATAATAGTAAGTC